GAGGGAGAGGGAAAGAGTTAGTTTTTTTTTTTAAGAAGAAAAAATCTCTAAAACACTCAAAATAGAACCTGAATAGCTTTTTTCTTTTTTTTGGTACTAGGGATTGAACTCAGGAGCACTCGACCACTAAGCCACATCCCCAACCCTATTTTGTATTTTATTTAGAGACAGGGTCTCACTGAGTTGCTTAGCGCCTTGCCACTGTTGAGGCTGGCTTTGAACTCATGATCCTCCTGTCTCAGCCTCCTGAGCCACTGGAATTACCGGCATGCACCACCATGCCTGGCCTAAACAGCTTTTCTTTCTTGATTTTACCAACCCATCTTTACTCCAAAAGACCAAGTTTCTCCAAGACATAAGATCCAATCTACCAAGCACCTCAGTGCCTGGCAATCAGTAGGCACTTAATGCTAATGGTAAGAAAAGAATGAAAAATTCGGGACTGTCACTATGTATTCTCTTTTACATCACTACTGAACAGTTTAGAGTGATTTGCCTAGCAAAATTTTAATAAAGAAGTAAAGATTCTTTCTTAACACACAAACTCTTACCTGAATGTGGCTGCTAGCTTCGTGTTTGCTAAATGCCAACACGCTAAGAATATAGAAGAGTTTTCGTATTTGCTGAGGGGACATATTATCCAGATAATCTAAAATACCCTGTGATGGGAGTAAAATAACAGTGAGTTTAGTGACTAACATTTTTTTCTCTTTAAATCAGAAACTTAAAATCCTTGTAAGAAACATAAACATATAGCACAACAGCTATTCACAAAAAGCTTAACTTGTGAACACTATGCTCAGAACCTAAAGATTTCATATTCTGAACGTAAGCTAAAGGGCTTATGAAGCTTTGTAAGCCCATCTTATTATCAGAGACTAGGAAGCACCACCAGGAAAGATAAAGTCTCCATACTCTTGAGTCTGGCATATTTGCCCTTATCACGTTGGCTTCTGAACTCTGAATCAGGGCTTTCAACACCTCTGCTTTGTCTTCCTAGTACACCTCTGACTTCACTGTATTCTTTATTTCCACTCTTCCTTTTTTTTTCTCAGTGAAAACAATATTCCACCAAAAGTTGTCTCCAATCCTACTCCTTATGATGTCATCCCTTTCCAGTTTCTACTCCATGAATTATTTATCCTGTCTCTGCAGATCTGGAGGAGGTCACCAGGAAACTGTACTTTTTGACCTTCGGCAACACCTCAGTTTTCTGTTATAAAGGGATAACAGAAGGCCTTTCAAAGGTGGCCTGAGGATGACGTAGTACTAGCTTTATAAATTTTCAACTAATTAATTAAAGAATATTTTCCATTTCTTCCTTTCTATTGAATCCTTATTTTGGTCCACAAGTTATCTCAAACCTCATCACCTAAATATATCTCCCTTGTTTTTCTCTCAAGCTACTCTCTCCCCCCCTTAAGTTTTCTCAAATGTTGACTCCATACCCCCAAGTTACTGCTCGTTATTCAAGTAACACTCTTTTGACAAAGGTTACCAGAGATAGCTTAACTGACCAAGAAAATGGCTTCTTATCGATCTTCATTCTCTATACCATCCAACACTATAGAAAATCCATGAGTCTTGAAGCTCCCTTTCACCTAGGCTTTTTTTTTTTAATATTTATTTTTTAGTTTTAGGTGGACCCATATCTTTATTTTACACTTATGTGGTGCTGAGGATCAAACCCAGTGGCTCGTTCATGCTAGGTGAGCACTCTACCACTGAGCCACAACCTTAGCCCCTCAACTGAGCTTTTACTACCTGACATCCTGCTAGTTCATTTTATTCACCTTGTTTTCTCATTCTCCTTGCATGGACATTTGCTCTAGTCTACCACTTTAATGTTCTCAAAATTTCTGCATTCTCCGGGCTTCCGCCTCAAAAGCTATCTCACTTTAACTCACACCTGTATGGTTATTGATATATGCACATTCAAACTAAACCCTCCTCCACACATGTCCCCTAGGCTCCAAACCAGAATTTCCAACTTTCCATAATCAGGTACATATGGAGATAACAAACTGAATTCATTATCCTTTCTGCAGAAGATGCACTCTCTTCCGGCTCTTCTCAGCTCAGGAAATGGACAGCCAATCATATAGTTTTCTAAGATACAAAATTTGGACCTAATTCACTGTTCCTCATTTGTTAAATATTCCTGATAATCATATGGATGGTAACACTAACTTGTCTTAAAAGCAAATCATTCCCTCTCTTTTCTTATTCTCACTCCTTTGGACCATTTCAGTGGTCTCCAATCCAACCACAATATGTGATTAGGTCAACTTCTTATAAAAATCTTTATTAGCAAGCCAGGAATGGTGGTGGACAGCTATAATCAAAGCTACTCATGAGGCTAAGGAGGATCTCAAGTTCAAAGACAGCCAGGTCAATTTAGTGAGACTCTGCCTCAAAATAAAATAAAAAGTGCTGAGAATGCAGCTCAGTGGTAAAGTGCTCACCTAGCATGTGTGAGACTCGAGTTCAATCCCCAATACTTAAAAAAAAAAAAAAAAAAAAAGTCGGTACTGGCTCCCTATTGTTTATAAAATCAAACTGAAACTCCTTAGCATGATTTGTTTGCTTGATTCTTACAGTACAGGGCTCGAACCCAGGGGTGCTCTACTACTGTACATCCCCAGCCCTTTTTGATTCAGGGTCTCACTAAATTGCCCGGGCTGCCTTTGAACTTATAATCCTCCTGTCTCAGTCTCCCAAACAAGTGGGATTACAGGAATGCACCACCACATCCAGTGTTAGCATGGTTTTGATACCCTCTATACCTGGCCCTGTCCTATGTCCTACCAGTCTCAATTCCTAACACTTCCTGCCATACCCTACTCTATATCCATGCTTTTCCACTTATCATCACTCAGACACACATGGACTTAGGCACTACTTTGCTTCTGCTCACACTGTTCTCTTCCAGAACTCACTCCTTCCTTCCTTCCTCTTGGAGTCTTTCCTTTCTTTAAAAAAACAAACAAACAAACAACAACAAAAAAAAAAAACACCTCACTCAAATGGTAGCCCCTCTTTGAAGGCTTTTCCAGCTTTGCAAACCAAGTTTAATTATTCCTTCTCTGTTATACCTATAGCAATTTCTCTTCATTACAGACTTCATCATTTCTATTTCAGTGACTTGCTTATGTGTCTTAATCTCTATCATCAAGGGCAAAGATCTTTACATCCAGAGCACCCAGAACAGTGTGGCACACAGTTAAGTATTAAGAAGTTTTACTGAATGAATATGTAAGTGATGAGTCATTTTTTCCTATTATTGGCCCATCAATGTACTTCCTTCCACCCATTATAATGCTCAGAATCTAAAGAATGTAAAATAAATGACTACTAACAGACATCAGAATACTCTCAAACACATTCAACAAAGAAAAATTATTCAATACATACAACAAAAGAGCCAAGACATACCTTTACAAAGACAGCATTCAGTCTCATAGCAGATGGGTTTAATCTTATCAACTCAAGGAGGACATCCAATGCAGTATCAACTTCCGTTTCATTCCCACTGCAGACATGGGTCACTAGGGCACCAACTGCTTCCTGTACAATGCAGAGAGAGAGTCAATAGGACAGGGTGGGGAAAAAAAAATATGGCACCGTCTATCGAAAGGGGTTCATGCTCAAGAACTTCCAGGTTCTCCTTTGATAAAATCACAACTCACCTGATCTTATTATTTATTATCTAATTTTCATTGTCATTGGCTTCAGACAATGGAACTTCACTCCCATCCCATCTTAACCTATTTCCCACAATTTATCAGTGAACACTATCTCAGCCCTCCTGATTTTGATCCTTGGTGTATCTTTCTTTCTCTTTCCCATATGAGTTGAATTTTACTCCTAAAGTTAAGGTTGGACATCATCTGTTGAAATTTCTTGAAAAGATGGCACTCAAGGAGGTAAAAGTTTTATAGATTTTCTTTTTTGGAGAAGAGGAGGGTACCAGGGATTGAAATCAGGGGCACTCAACCACTGAGCCACATCCCCAGCCCTTTTTTGTATTTTAGAGACAGCATCTTGGTGAGCTACTTAGCTTTCATAATTACTCTCCACAAGTATAGACCTCCCTCTGGATATGCACTATTAAATTTTGTGTCTCGTGTTCATGGGGACAGTGTTAGAACTTAAGTATTTCTCATTTATTTTTTACTATACTTATTTTTAAGGGACAACTCTAGGATCAAACGGAGTTTATTATTTAAAGCTAAGTTTGTCATCCCTGTACTGGGAAAACTACCTAAAAACCCAACCCATTCAACCATGTCTATCTGAAGTAGAATGAATTTGGACTTTAATTTTAGACCTAAAGAATTCTGAAGCTCACAAGATACCCCACATCAGACTCCTCATTTTAAGACGGGGAACAGAATTTACCTTTCCTAAAGTCCAGTTTTTAATGCTTTCCAACTGAAGAAATAAACATTAAATCACATGCAATTCACTCAGAATTCTTTCATTCTCTTACCTCCTTAACCAAAATAAATATTTCAACATACCTGCTGGCAGTAAGTGTCAAAAAACTTAAATGAGTATTTGTATAAGAGACTGCCAAACAAAATTATATTTTGATCTTGAGAGTGGAACAAACTCTGAGCCAGTAATAGAATGGATGGACAAATATCCTTCAGAACCTGAAAAAGTAAAGAATAAACAGAAAACAAACTATGGGAAAAACTAATTATTAGAAATAATTAGTTATTATTTAATAATTAATAAAATAATTATTAGAAATAATGGTTATTTCTAAGAGTTGCTATTAACCACTAGTATCTCTTAAGAAAATATCCCTTTTGGTTGGGCATGGTAGCACACACTGACTTGGGAAGAGGATTCCAAGTTCAAGGCTAGCCTGGGAAATTTAGTGAGACCCTTTGTCAAAAAAAAAAAAGAAAAGAAAAGGCTAGGGATAACTTATAACTCAGTGGTAGACTGCTTGTCTTACATGTGTGAGGTCCTAGATTTGATCCCCAGTACTCCACAAAATACATAACATAATAATACAAACATTAAACCCATTTTCTATATAAAATCTTAAGATGCAACTACATATTTTTGTTAATTCCTAAGCCAAACCCTTCTAATATTTAGCTAGCAAAACACTACTCCCAGCTTCTGAAATTCCAGTTTGAATGGTTCACATTTTGATAAGAATCATCACCTGTGGTTCTCAATGTCAAATGTTCAAACACAAATGGATCAACAGATCCATATTTACATCTCTACTAGCATTCTTCTGGTTCCTATTTTTTTCAAGGTTTTTACAAACATCTTTGGACAAGATTTTATAAGGCCAATTTACCAAAGCTGCAAGTTGCAGAGAACCAGACAAGTAAAATGACAAATGCAAAATTAAGATTAAAAAGTCTCTGGGGCTGAGGTTGTAGTTCAGTGATAGAGCACTTGTCTAGCATGTGTGAGGCACTAGGTTCGATTCTCAGCACCACATATGAACAAATAAATAAGTAAAGGTCGATAACTGAAAAATATTAAAAAAAAAAAGATTCAAAAGTCTCAATAATGAGATGACAGGCAGCTGTAGAAGACTTTTATCTTAGATTAAAAATCAACTTATAGGGCAGAATTAAAAGACCTGAATTAAAATAATTCCTATAAAAGAACTGAATTTAAGTCAGTTAAAATTACTTTTAATTTCATGAAAATCAATCTTAAAGAAAAAAAAAAAAAACCTTAGATTTGTTTACTAAGACGATAATGTCTCAATCAAGGTAATAATCCTATTTTGTGGGCTGGGATGTGGCTCAAGTGGTAGCGCGCTCGCCTGGCATGCATGTGGCCCGGGTTCGATCCTCAGCATTACATACAAAGATGTTGTGTCCACCAAAAACTAAAAATAAATATTAAAAAAAAAATAATAATAATCCTATTTTGTTGGATTTTTCCCTTAAGTACTGGGGATTGAACCCAGGGCCTTGTGAATGCTAGGCAAGCATTCTACCACTGAGCTATGCCCTCAGACCTCTCACATGTTTTAAAATGTTGGAACTCCTTCTGAAAAATAAACACTCAGCAAAGATATTAGGAATTCTACACTGGATAGGAACAGTTACCTCTCTCTATATGTCAGACTAATATTGCCTAACTTTCTGACACTTACCACATAATGAATACAGAAAGTACTCTCGAGCAAGTCTTCTTGAATGGAGCCAGATCGAATCTTGTTTTTTACCACCCTCTCAATGTTCTTCTTTGCCTGAGTATTAGTGCTATAAATGATGAAAATCATTGCCAGGTCGAAACTCTATTGATAAGTACACAACAGATGAAAATAGTTAGTAAATCAGTACATTTACTACAATAAAAGAGTGGCTCTCAATATTTTCCCATTAAAACTCAGAATAGATATATTTACTTTTTCAACATACTCCCATGGGAGTGCCTCAATTTTCACAAAAGCCAGAAATATTTTTCAAAGAAATAAAGTGCCGTGATTATTAACCTCTGGTATGTCTTAAAAACACATCAGAACATAAGTGAAAGTGATATTATCAAAGAAGTAATTTTGAACATCTTCACATTTATCAAAAGAAAAAGATCAAATCACTTGCCAATTCCAGAATATATTTTCATCATTAAAAAAACTGTTTTGTGGGCTGGGGTTGTGTCTCAATGGTAGAGTGCTTACCAAGCATGAGAAAGACACTGGGTTCAATCCTTAGTACCACATAAAAATAAGTAAATAAAATAAAGGTATTATGTCCACCTACAACTAAAAAACTATTTTTTTAAAAATATTATTTTCAGTCTTTTATTCCATATCAGAAAAGCTTTTAAGATAGTCTTTCAAAAACAACTGAATAGTCTAACAAAAATCCCACAGAACAAAACAGATTCCAACTTAAAAAAAAAAAAAAAAAAAAAAAAGCTTTAGAGAGATCAAATCAGTACGTAAGAAACTCAATCATCTGGCTTCTAGAAATAAGAGAAAGACCACTACCAGATCTTGACAGTGGGAAGACTTTGATCTACTCAGGACTACATGGATAAAGTAAAACACAAAATGCCATCATCTCGACAATTCCACCAGGTAGGAGAAAGAAAGGGTTATCAGACAAAGCAGGGATAGGACTGACTCAAGTAGAGATGTCACTTTCTTTGACTACAACTTATGTTTGAAATGTCCAGATTTCTCTTTCTGGATACTATAGGCTTATTTTGCTGCAAAAATTAACCAGTAGGAGCAGACCATCTGGCAAGTTGCCCAGTAGCAATTATTTATTGGAGGAGCTAGAGAAGACACAGAAGGAACAACTGAAGGGAGAGAGAAAACAGAACAAGCTAGCTGAAGTCACTACTTAGACTATAATACTTAAAATTCGTAGGACAAAAGCATTACCTTGTGCTTAGACTCAATGTTTTCAATTGCCTGGGGAAAAAGGGGTCACAAAAACATTATAACACATCAGTGGAACATTTCTTAATGCCTTATTCAGCATGCCCTGTTCCCTGACTTGACAGCCAATCTGCCAATCATCTATCATTTTTATCTTAGTTTTTATTTCTACGTTTTTTTTGTGGGGGACAGGAACAGGATTGAACTCAGGGGCACTCAGCCACTGAGTATACTTTATTTAGAAATAGGGTCTTGCTGAGACTAGCTTTGAATTCATGTTCCTCCTGCACACTGGGATTATAGGCGTGTGTCACCATGCCCAGTTATTTGTACTTATATTTTTTTTTTTAAATTTTTATTATTAGTTGTTCAAAACATTATATAGTTCTTGACATATCATATTTCATACATTTGATTCAAGTGCAAAACACAACAGACACTAGTATGGCAATATGTAAAACAGTGGATGTGTAACTGATGTGATTCTGCAATCTGTATACGGGGTAAAAATGAGTGTTCATTTCTACTTATTTTACTTACATTATCCATCACTGATTTACACCCCTTTCCTCCATGATGGTCCAAAGATCTCACTCACCTTAATCCAGGCTTCTGAAATGATTTTCTCATACCTAACAGTCAACTTTAAGATATCAAAGAGAAGCATAACACAGTTTGGACTGTCATCTTCTTGGTATTCTGAAGAACTACAAGTAGAAGAGGGGAAAAAAATTATTTCTTCTACTAACCAAAGAAGAACATCTCAGTACCTGTTTCCTAGCCAGGTACCTGGGAGCAAGTCATAATCGCATATGTAAAAAACTTGCAGTCCAGATGGAAGTGATCTGAATGGCGTTTCTCTCTCTCTCTCTTTCTCTCTCTCTCTCTCTCTCTCTCTCTCTCTCTCTCTCTCTCTCTCACACACACACACACACACACACACACACACACACGAAGTGAGAAACTAAATGGTACTGTACGTGAATGTACCATTATTTGTAAATTTTAAGTATTAAGTTCCAACAGTCCTGACTTTCAGAAAAAACAGATGTCAGAAAACTTTTCTTTTACTGCTAGAAAAAGAATGGCAACTGTCAAAAGCTCTATTACCTTGCTCCTGTAATTTTCAATTTGATTTGGGAAGCCTGAAACATTGATGGCAAAATAAAATGCTGCAGATCCAACCTCTCCCGAAGCTCAGAAATTACCTGAAGAAAGTAAAATTAGCCATGTTGTTGTGGTCATAGTGGATAGAGACAGCCCATTCTCTCAATAGAATTATAACAACCCCTTAAAGACTGAAGAAAGTTTAAATGCTGGACAAGGCAACATTGAAATAGTTGATGACAATGGTTAATGCAGGTATAGTATGTCACACCCAAATTCCAGAATTCTTTGAGGTACACAGAAATTCCTGTAAGGGCTTATACATAATAATCAATCATAGTATCATTCTTTTCCCTGAATGCTATGTGGATTAATCAGTATTTATCATTTAGTTTGGGGCCAGAGAAGAGTAATATGGACCTATTAATTTAAATAAATTTATCCTGATGTACCTTTATCTACGTTGGGCAGGAAAGACTACTATACCTCAAGTGCATTGGTGGCTGTTATGGAATGAAGAATGAACTTGATTATCACAGGTAAGTCAACCAAAGCAACTGAGGACAGTTTACCCATCACCAACTGGCGGACCTAAAATTAGAAAGCACAAAAACCTTAACTATTTCCATGTCTCTACCTCAACCCCAAACTGACTTCTTAGGTACAATCAGAAACATAACTCTCAGTTTTCCCATACACAACTTGAGGGGAAAAAAACGCCTTCTTTTGCTATCCTCCAAATTACAAGTTTTCAATTGTTAATGCAAAAACTTCCTCACAAACAGCTGGCAAGTGTATTGTCTTACATTTTGAAGCCCAAATTCACAATTGGATCTAAGAAAGCATAAAAAAGTGTTATCCCACTAGGCACAGAGATGCATGCCTGCAATCCCAGAAGTTCAGGAGGCTGAGACAAAGTTTTAACTTTAGAGCATCTGAAACTCACTGAAAAGAATAAAAGATTAAATGTCATTCAGTACAGTTTGAAAGGGCAATTTTCTTTACATAATTTCTTCCAAGGTAATGCCTAATTGACAATGGTTCCAAGAGTCAAAAAGCTGGCCCTGTTTCTGGAGAGCACAGTCTTTCCTACCTTAGATAGGAAGGTTGGGTCAAGTCGGAGACTGGAAAGGACATCCAGGATTGGGACAGTAAGGGGAGTATTCTCCATTAATAGGTCACTGTGAATGTTGGAAAAACAAAGTTGTATAAAGGTTTAAAGAGAACTAGGCAGATTAAACACTTGAGAAAAATGACTCATCAGATTATGGGAAGACAGGATACACAGTTGTCCCTTGGTATCTGACCTTGGATTTCAGGACCCCACTCTTCATGGATACCAAATTGAATACATGCTCAAGTCCCCTACGTAAAATGGCATAGCATTTGGATATGCCCTATACAGTTCCCTATAAACAGTAAATCATCTCTGAATCATTTATAACACTTAAAACTAGGTAAATGCTATGTAAATAGTTTTTCTGCTATATTTTTTAGTCAATGAACCTTTATTTATTTATATGCAGTGCTGAGAAATAAACCCGGTAACTCATACATGCTAGGCAAGTGTTCTACCATTGAGCCACAACCCCAGCCCCTCTTCTACTATATTACTTAGGGAAAAATGACAAGGAAAAAGACTGCACATGTTAATACAGATGCAGCATTTATTCTGAATAGTTTTGATCTATAGTTGGTTGAATCAGAGGATGTACATACAGAGGGCCAGTTGTACTAAGTTCCAATTAAAATACTGATTTTATTTTTCACTAGATGCTGTCTTCATTACAAAAAAATAATATATGCTCATTATAAAAATTCAAGTAAATAAATTAAGAAACAAGAAGCCCTCCTTCACCACACCAACTACCCAGAGGGCACTATTGAGTTTGGCAAACGTCCTTCCTGAAAATAGAAAAAAAAGAAAACCAAAACAATTACAATAGAGCATGATTAAATATAAAAGAAGCATATGCAGGGTGCTATAGGAGCATACAGTAGTGAAAAGTATAGGGATGGATCCTAAAAGAAGGCTGTACAAAAGAACAAGCTGGCAGGAAGCAGGCAAAGTGAACAGTTAGGACTGTACCCAAAGGGAGCATCCTGCCCAAAAGCATAAAAGCAAATCACTGGACACATTTGGAAGTAGGCAAGTGCAGAATTCAAATTTTTTAAAAACTACCTCTAGGACAAGTAAAAAGTTACATTAATACAGAAGCTATATTCTAGGGATATAGTTCTCCCTTCTTTATTACTAATCTACCAATTATAGTACTATTTTTCAAATGAATGGCAGTAAGCAATGGGTATCAGCAACAGGTCTAATGCAGGGAGTATATTACAATGAATTGTCTAAGGATCAAAAAATGTAGATGTTAAACAGCATACTACACTGAAACAGCCACATCAATGTTTACACCAGCACAATTCACAATAGCTAAATTGTGGAACCAACCTAGATGCCTTTCAATAAATGGATGGATAAAGAAACTATACACAATGGAATATTATTTGTCATTAAAAGAGAATAAAATCATGAAATTTGCAGGTAATTGGATGGAGTTGGAGAATATCACGGTAAGTAAGGCAATTCCCAAAATCCAAAGGCCGAACGCTTTCTCTAATATGTGGATGCTGATCCATAATGGGGAGTAGGCCGCCACCATGGGAGAAATGGAGGAACTTTAGATAGGGCAAAGGGGAGGGAGAGGAAGGGAGGGGGCGTGGGAAAGATGGTGGAATGAGATGGACATCATTACCCTAGAACATGTATGAAGACACGAATGATGTAACCCTGTGTATAACCACAGACATGAAAAATTGTGCTTTATGTGTACTATAAATTGAAATGCATTCTGCCGTCATGTATAACAAATTGGAATTTTAAAAAAGAAAGAATGTAGATGTTTAAAAAATCCATAAATAATCGTGATGTGCAAGTCAGATTGAGAATTCCTTGGAGGAAATGCTAATGAAACAAAGTCATCATGTTCAAATTCTTACATGCCAAATTTGTATACCTAATCCTAATCAAGACACCTTCATTCACAGGTATATCATTTTTTAAAAAGTATATGGGTCTTGGGGCTTAGGTTGTAGCTCAGTGGTTAAATGCTTGTCTAGCAAATGTTAAGCACTGGATTCAATACTCAGCATCACATAAAAATAAAATAGGGCTGGGAATATAGCTCAGTTGATAAAGTGCTTGCCTACCATGCACAAGGCCCTGAGTTCAATTTCCAGCACCAATAAAGAAGTAAAGTAAAATAAAGGTATTATGTCCTTCTACAACTAAAAAATATTGGGGAAAAAAACAAACAAACAGATGGGTCTATTCAAATATATACCTGTCATTAAAAATACAAGTCAAATCCCATGCCCTATTCCTGAGAGATAGATATATCATGCTCCTTTGATACCATATTTACTACCACTCTATACACTGCAGCAATAAAGCTCCCATATTGGTGCCTCTTTGAGACAGTAGCAGAGTGCTCCTCTACCTGAGTTCTTTCCCCACATCAGCATGCTGGGCATCCCCTAAGATCTCAGGTAGGCTGGTAACAAAGTCATGTTGCAGGTACACTGGAGCAATACTGATCAACTGCATGATCTTGGTGGTAAGGTCCTGCAGTGAGGGACACAATTAGAATTGCAGCACATTATCCAGAATACAGAAACACTACCTACTCATAAAATGCAGAGCTCAAGTTATCTTTTGTACAATATCTCAACTACAGATGCAAGCTCAAAACTTAAGTTTAGAGGCAAATGGCCCAGATAATTTCATATAAAACAAAACAGAAAAAAATATAAGATGGATAGTATATTATCTAATAGGTCTATTACATACATTATTCCATTTAATCTTCAGAACTATGGGGTTTTACAATAATTCCCATATTTTAAATGTATGAATGAATTACCCAAGGATACATGGTTAATTGGCAGACCCCAAATTCCATCCCAGATGAAACCCCAAAAACTCATATTCTTCCACACAGAAATTTAGCATCAGAATGTCTGTCAACTTAGAAAGATGAATTTATAAACTCCTGAAGAAAATTGAACCTAAAGCACTTGGCTCAAAATAGATTTAACTTTATCAAGGTGCTTGAATAACAAATCGTATAACTACAAAAACTTTTACAATGTTCCTCAATATGTAATCAAATTAAAACAATTGTAGTGAAGTAAGATGGTTTGGTATCTCATCACTTCAGAAATACACTACAATCTCTTCACTTAGAAAAAGTAATTTATTTACAAACACTTAATTTATATATTAAATGATATCTAATTTTATAATTAGATAAGCTTTTCTGAAAAAATTTAAAGGGAAAAATAATCATAATTCTCAAATTATGAAAACTGGAAAAAGCTAATGGATAGTTGGAAAAGTGTGAATGCTCAGCATAAAAACAAGGGGGAAAACCCTACAAATTCCAAAAGTTTGGCAAGTACAAAAAACATTCTTTAAATATGAATAATAAAGCTCCAAAGCCTACCTTGCCATCCACAATTCTGTCAAGCCATTTTAATTGACTGAAAATGAGTCGAGGCATGTTGATTCCATCACTGCTTGCACTGAAATGTTAGAATGAGAATTCAAGGAAGTTAGACTTTGTTTTTTATTTTATTTTTGTGCAGGGAATTGAACACTGAGCCTCACATGCTAAGGAAGTGCTGCTGAGCTACACTCCCTGCCCCAGATCTTAGCCTTTCTGACTTTTCTATAACAGCCCTAATACTGTGCAAAATATTCCATTCATTCAATTAACATTTACTGAAATATTTCCACGCACTGGGCAATGTGCTAGACCAAAAAGCAGCAGACATAGGGTTACACATATTAAGAAAGAGGACTGGAAGAAGACACGTCAAACTATTAGCAACGGCTACAGCTGGAGAGAGTTTAGAAAGAAGGGAAAATAGGGCTAGATAGTATTTCTTTTATTTATATATATTTATTTTTTAGTTTTCGGTGGACACAACATCTTTATTTTATTTTTATGTGGTGCTGAGGATCGAACCCAGTGCCTCGTGCATGCCAGGCGAGCACACTACCGCTTAAGCCACATCCCCAGCCCCAAGATAGTATTTCTTAATATAATTTTTTCTATACCAGGGATTCAACCCAAGGACATTTAGCCACTGAACCACATCACCAGCCCTTTTATTTATATATGTTTATTTATATATATTTTATATATATATATATAAAATGTATGATTGTTGGGGTTTTTTGTTTGGGGTTTTTTTTTTAGATTTTTTTACTTTATTTACTTATACAAGGTGCTGAGGATTGAACCCAGGGCCTCACACACACCAGGCAAGCACTGTACCACTGAGCCACAACCCTAGCCCCCCTTTTTTATATTTTATTAGAGACAGAGTCTCACAGAGTTGCTCAGGGCCTTAGTTAAGTTGCTGAGGCTGGGTTTGAACTCAGAATCCTCCTTCCTCGGTTTCCTGATTCCCTAGAATTACAGGCATGCACCATCACACCGACCTTAATAATATAATTTTTAAAAGATAGAAAGCTAACAAATTAAAACTGAATAGAATAATATTTTTCAAAAGGTAAAAATTTATTACATCAATGAAAAAGAAAAGGCAAGCACATCAACTGCTATGAAAACTCATGAGTTCAAATTAGATTATGTTCATGAAAGTATTATGACAAGCATTTCTAAACTTATGAAGAAATGTTGGCTCAGTTACTATTATTTTCCACAAAATAAGAATCTATGCCTTCCTCCTAACCTAAATTTTTGGACTACCCCCAGCTCCTTTTCTTAACAGTATTCTTGGTCCTTGTTTACTACAACCAATCTTTTAAAAAAATTTTTGTATTGGTACATTGTAATTATACATAATAGTGGGATTCACTAAACTATACTCATACATGGACATAATATGATCAATCTCATTCCCAAGTACTTTCTCTTTCCCTCATTTCCTCCAGCTCCCATCTGACTGCTCTACTGATCTCCCTAATATTGTATTTTAATTACTGAATTATTATTATTCACTCTAGTATATTCATACATAGATGCAGCATAATTTTGTAGATTTCATTCCCCAGTAATTCCCCATGCCCTCCCTTCCTTCCACCACAGCCCATCTTAAGCACTAAGAAAGACTTAGCCAGAACATAAAGCATCATCTAAAACCTGAAATTTTTAAAAATGCATCTTCAAAGTATATTATGTATAGGACATAAAATGGAGAAAATGAAAATTACTATGTATCTGTCATATCGAAGATATCCACTATTAATAATGCATTATTATGCTTTATATTTTTTTAAAACAAGACATTGATTTATAACATGGGGTTTTTTTTTTTCAATTAATGTATGGCATCAAATGGTCATTATAACTTTTTTTAATATTTTATTTTTAGTTGTAGTTGGACACAATACCTTTAATTTATTTTTATATGGTGCTTGAGGATTGAACCAGGGACTTGCACTGCTAGATGAGCACTCTACTACTGAGCCATGACTCCAGCCCTAGTCAGTATAATTTTAATGACCACATGATGTTTCTGTTTTTTAACATGTCAGTTGTTCACAATTATTTATTATTTTCTTGTCTGGGTTTTTGTTGTTTTTCTTTTGCTTTGTTTTGCAGTGCTGGGGACTGAACATAGAGCCTCCTGCATGCTGTATAACAGCTCAATCACTAATCTATAACCAGTTCTAATTTTTTGTTATTTTAGACAATAATCTTATGTCTTTGTTTTCAGTTAGTAAACATTTTGGGGTAAAACAGGAGAGAGCAGTGAGGATTAAAGGGTATGCAAAATCTTAAGTCTTTTTTTGTGTATGTGATGCTGGGAATGGAACCCAGGACCCTCACACACACTTCTACTACTATGCTACATCAACCTAAAACCTTAGGTTCTTCTTTTTCTTTTGTACAAGGGAATAAATCCAGGGGCTCTTACCACTGAGTCACATCTGCAGCCCATTTTTGTATTTAATTAGAGACAGTGTCTCACTGAGTTGCTTAGGGTCTCCCTATGTTGCTGGCTTTAAACTCACAATCCTCCTGCCTCAGCCTCCTAAGCCCCTAGGATTATAAGCATGTTCCATGCGCATGGCCAAAACCTTAGGTTTTACGTACAACCTCTTTTTTTTCAAATGACTGAACAAATTAATAAGCTCATTAGCAATGAATGCACATGCCTGTTAATTACACTCAACATAGAAGACTCTTTTGAGAATGGAAATAATGAATTCATTTATTGTTTTAAAACTGTGTCTTTGCTAATAAAATTAAACTTTTGATGTTTAATGTTCTTGCATTTGTGAATTGTCTGTTCACGATCTCTGTCTACTTTTCTATTATAAACTGTTCAGTTTTTTATGACATAATAATTTTTAAAATAGATAGTGCAGGGATGGGGTTGTAGCTCAGTGGTAGAGCACTTGCCTAGCACATGTGAGGCACTGGGTTAAATCCTTTGCACCGCATAAAAACAAAGAAAATAAAGCTATTATGTCCATCTACAACTAAAAGAAAATTAAAAATAAAAAATTAAATGAAATGTAAAAAACTTTTAAAAATATGTAGTACACACACACACTATAAAAACAAAAAGGTAAAGAACAATATTCAGAGAATACCTGCCTCCAGTCAATTGGCACTAGGAATAATCCCATGCATGTACATACATATATATTATTTATTTTTAACCAAATTTCTGCTAATTTCTTATGAAGCCAATAATAGATGAAATTTCAAAGAAAGGTACCCCAATAAAAGTTTAGTACTCATGTAAGAACCTGGCATCATAATTAACATGGTCTTCAGAGAAAACAATGATGTTCCAGAGAGAAACAACTCTATCAGGGTGCTAAAAGTATTCCAGAAAAACTTCACTTACGTTTTGAAAAGAAATTCTGGCAACTTTTCAAATAAGATTTTGATAATGGCAGGCTAAAAAAGAAAATGTAGAGCATTACAAGATAGTCTCAAAATACACAACAGAAATATATAATTAGCCAGAATTCTCTCCCACCAGAGCTCTTAATGTCCTCTTAATTATAAGAATGTTCACATAGATACTGAACATAAGCTGCTAAAATACAAAGATACGAATAATCTGTCTTTTGAAATATTAAAAATCAATTGCTAAGACAAAATAATCAGATAATAAAATATTAACAAATGTAACTGTTAATCCATGAAATGTAGTCTTTAAAAATTATCGAATATTTTTTCAAGAGAAGACAGAGGACAAGAGCTCTTAGACTTAAGGTAAGCATTATATTTTATTTCCGGGATAGTAGGGGATAAGAAAGGTAGCAGAATACAACAGACACTAATATGGTATTATGTAAAAATGTGGATGTGTAACTGATGTGATTCTGCAACTTGTATTTGGGGTAAAAATGGGAGTTCATAACTCACTTGAATCAAATGTATGAACGATGATATGTCATGAGCTTTGTAATGTTTTGAACAACCAATAAAAAAAAATATCAAAACAACAAAAAAGAGGCTAGTATATTTGTACTTGGTATTATAGACTATTTCCAAATATTCTACAAGTATATGTGGTTAGTAATTAGAAGTGTACAGAATCATTAAATTCTTTCTAAATTAAAAGAAAAAAAAAAAGATTTCCAATGAAATTGAAGAGATAAAAGATGGGGAGAAGAAAAATGGTGGATAAGATAGGAAGGAGACTTTCCAGTGTACATTAATTTTATATAATTTGAGATATTTAAAATATACCACTACATAACATTCAATACATTAAAAAAGAAAGGAGGGGGAAGGAAAGGGAAAAATTAAATTATTACGGAACTAAAAAGCTAATTGGGAAATGATGCAAATGTTAGTGAGATAAAGATTATAAGGTTCTCAGTGCACACAGGATGCAGCCTTCAGAAAGAGGACTTAGATGCTGAGTGAATAAAAGGGACTGCCAGATGAGAGGGACTAATGGGCACAGTTCAGAGATGTAAATAATACCCTAAATAACCCTAACAGACTCAGCTCACCAAAAGAGCTATGATAAGGCTGTTGCAAACTTAAACTCTCCAATTACCCTACTCTGCCCTGTTCTAGCCACTTATAATTGGGCACATACCACAAATCATATCTATCAAATGTTCACAGAAAAAGTAGTAGAGTCTCACCTGTAATATGTCAATCCCCAGAAGTAGTTTGATGAGGCTCTTAGAGTAAGATGCGCCCATGCTATAAAAGACACATTTGTTTACTATTTTGTTTTCCTTTTTTTAACATTTTTACTATCTTTTCTCCAGAAAACTGGTTAGGTACACAATCTAAAGATTAAGCCCACAATATAATCTTTTTTAGGAAGGTGGGGTACTGGAGATTGAACCCAGCAGTGCCTAACCACTGAACCACAACCCCAGCCCCCTGTTTTTTTGTAGTCATAGATACACAGAATGCCTTTATTTTACTTGTTTATTTTTAGGTGGTACTAAGGATCGACAGTGCCTCACATATTTTATTTAGAGAGCATCTTGGTGAGTTGCCTAGGGCTTCACTTAATTGCTGAGGCTGGCTTTGAGCTCATGATCTTCCTGCCTCAGCTTCCCAAGCCACTGGGATTACAGGTATGCGGGTGGCCATTATATAATCTTGTTAGACAAGAAATACAGATCATGATAGAGAGGTAGAGAATTTTAAATTCTATCAACACAGGTAGAAGTAGTCTAGAAAACACTCAGTGCTTAGCCTTAAAATCACAAATTTAACAATTTTAAGTTTAGGTTTAAACTCTGAGGAAAAACGAGCTACAAATCAAAAGTGAAATTATAAAAATCTGTACCCCCCACACCCAAGCCAGTTACTGTAAGAGACTGAATTTATGGAGGCTGCATGCCTCCTCTCCACACCTGGCTTCCTGGTCGTGTAGACGTTCACAAGACAAAAGGCAATTCCTGAAACTGTCATGGTCTTCAATGTAAGATTCCAGGCCATCAACAAATTCTTCTATCACCTTAGTGAGATTTTAAATATAAAAGAGTAAGATTTTCAGTTTTAACATTTATTGTCAACTAAAAATCATTCTAGCCCACTCAACAATTTGCAAGTGTCTTTCAATTCCTAATTCCAGAGGAATTAGGAATTGAAAGACAAAAAGTCAAAAATACCAGAGAAAATACATACTTTGGGATAAGAAGGATGTTTCCTCAGGGACTGCTGAAAAAATAAAAAATACCAGAGAAAATACATACTTTGGGATAAGAAGGATGTTTCCTCAGGGACTGCAATAGCTTCTTTTGGAAAATTATTTGATCCACAGCTATGAGGAAAGAAAGACAACTGGTTACCATGGTCTGTGACATCTAACAGTTTTCTTCCCAAAAGATCTGAGTCTCTAATCTGATAAAACCACTTAAAATATCTTCAACCTAATTTTGTTTGAACCTTCCTAAACCCACAGTAAAAATGTAGTTGTTGTTGTTGTTTTAACACAATAACTATTTTATTTATTTTTATGTAATGTCAGGGATCAAACCTAGTGCCTCACACATGCTAGGCAAGCGCACTACCACTGAGCCACAATCCCAGCCCCTAGATGTAGTTTTAATAGAGGATAGTCACTAAGTGTCCTAAAAAAACACCTGCCATAACCTTAGCACAATAGAATAAATTATGCCCTAAAAACAGGGCCTTATATAACTCTACACATTTTTCTCTGAAATTATTCTGACACAGATCTATTTACTTCCTGGATATTAATATATTTTTCACAAGAAAGCATGGAAGAATACTAGCATATAACTTTTTTTTTTTTTCTGGAAAAAAAATATTAGAAGTACTTAATGTGCATTAACCAGGACAACAGAATAAAACAATATTCTCTAAAAAGTAATTTCATTTTTATCTCCTGACAGATGATCCACTCATCTTTAATCTTCACTGCCTCTCAATGTAGAAAAATCCACGATTTAATCCTAAGACCTTTCACTAAACCCCAAAAATAGATTTAGATAAAATATTACCTAGTTGATTTTGATTCTCTCCAGTTTTAAGAACAAGTCCTGATGTCTTAAGAAGTCTTACAAAGACATTGTCATTTTCTTCAACTTCATTAGAAGCATAAGATTCCTTTGTCTTTTTGGAAAGTGATTTCTTCCTGGTTCCTGAAAATAGACAAAATTTTAAAGATTATGACAAAAAAAAGTAAAACAAAGATTAAGGGGCTGGGATTATGGCTCAGCAGTAAAGTGCTTGCCTAGCATGGGCGGGACCCGGGTTCAATCCTCAACACCACAAAAAAATAAAGGCATTGTGTTGTGTCCATCTACACCTAAATATATATATATATTTTAAAAAAAGATTAAAATGTAAATCCAGGAATAATACCTTTGAGAGGAAATCTGGGGTGTTCCTGAAATATTAAGACTAGAATTGGTGCTACAGTGAAATGAACTATCTCTAACAATGGTCAGCAATAGTGACTTCCAAATAGAAAAATAAAACAAGCAGCACACAGAATTATATTTACCAGGTTTTCATTTGAAGAAATCAAATTATACCACTTGAAACAAGAATAAACAGAATGCTTTCCACCCAAAACCTAAAGCAGTCAGTTCTCTCAAGTTATTGTCAAACCACTGTATTGAAATCACTGAGAAGCTTATTAAAACGCATATTCCCAGGCTAAATTCTAGAACTTACTCAGTGAAATCTTGAGAATGGCACCTAGGAGTCTAATTTTTTTTTTTTTTTTTTTTTTACAAACTCCTCAGGTAGTAATCCTGATGTACACCAAATTTGAGAATTAATGGTGTGTATACAAAAACAGAATGGAGGGGAATAGCATGGATGGTGAAAGGAGACCCTCATCATTATACAAAATACAGATGTGAATTTGGTATCAACATACCTTATATGTAATCAGAGACATGATAAATTATTGTATAATGGTGTATTAAGAATTGTAATGCAAAAATAAATAAATAAAAACCAGAATGGAATAGGTTCTCCTACATCAGATCTTTAATACAAAGCACACATTGGTTTCATCCCAAGGTTTTCAACCAATAAAAAGTAACAAGCCAGGCACAGTGGTGCACACCTGTAATTCCAGCTATGGGGGTGGGGAGGCTGAGGCATGAGAATCCAAAGTTGGAAGCCAGTTTTGGAAAATTAGCAAGGCCCTAAGCAATTTAGCAAGACCCCGTCTCAAAATAAAAGAAAAAGGTCTGGGGATAGGCCCTGAGTTTAATCCCTCCTAACAAAGAAGAAGAAAAAAAAAAAAACCAACAACAAAGCCTTAAACAGAATGAAACAAAGACCACTTTCAACCTTCCTTAAAGAAATTTAGGCTAGGCACAGTGGTGCACACCTATAATCCCAGCAGCTCAGGAGGCTGAGACAGGATCACGAGTTCACAGCCAGTCTCAGCAAAAAGCAAGATGCTAAGCAACTCAGTGAGACCCTGTCTCGAAATAAAATATAAATAGAGCTGGGAATGTGGCTCAGTGGTTGAATGCCGCTGAGTCCAATCCCTGAACCCAAAAGAAAAAAATAAATTTAGGCGTAACTAGAAAAGATTCAGTTTGCTCATCACACCAAAAAAAACAAAATCCCTTCTCATAAATTTAACTCAGAAGTCTCTTCCCTTTTGGAGAACAGTATTTTGAAAGTACAAAATCTTCATTTAGTAACTTCTTATATTATTTTTCTTCAGTTTCAATTTTTTTATCAATTTGTCTGTATTCTACAATTCCTTCACCAACAGATAGAGCCTAAATCAAGCCTTTACTAACAGAGTTTTAGCCTTAAAATTTTATTTCTTAATTCTAAATATTGTCAATAACATTTTCATCAACATCAGTTGTATTTGACCATGAGTCAGACCTAAATTCCTATACCCTAATAAGAAAGAACACTTCAATCAGTTAGAACAACCTTAAATGATTCTTTTTATATTTATTTTTTAGTTGTAGTTGGACACAATACCTTTATTTCACTTATTTATTTTTATGTGGTGCTGAGGATGGAACCCAGGGTTCTGCACGTGTAAGGCAGTGCTCTACTGCTGAGCCACAACCCCAGCCCAAGCCACAACTCTAGCCCTTAAATGAGTTTAATAAATGAAAAGAACTTTCAGTCTCTTCTCTTCCAAACTCCTAGGGTCTTTGTCAGTCACATTCTCATTTGGGCAAAGCTCTAAACAATTTCTTTGCCTCTGCTTTCACATACCTTTCCTTTGTACATCACTACCATAGCTACCTTAACTTTTTTTTTAAGGTAGAAAAGACCAGGCTTTTTAAAAAGATGGGAACTGTCTTTTCTTTGTGTCCCAACACAGAGATAATGTACAGAAGTCCACAGATAAGACAAATTCCTCTGATGAATGTAGCCACTGATGCTTAGAGGGGTATGCCTGAAGTTATATGTGGAAACAGAGAGAGAACTCTATCCCAAATCTCCTGACACTGGATTCTTTGTGCTGTATCTATTAGGCCTTGATGATGCCTAGCACTTGAAAAGTAAAAACTTTACATATCACTAAATGTCTCATACATTTCTTATAGTAAATAAAGCAATAAATGGCAAATACTTACTGGAGGCATCTTCCATCAGGGTCTCTTTATCCTCAGATTTTGACAGTGTTCTTTTGGAAATCATTTTGAGTGAAGTTCTCCACACTTAAATAATTTACAAGAGTAAATAATTTACAAGAGTAAAACGACAGGAAAAAAGTTATCCTCCAGAAGCAAAATTCTGATAAGTCAAAATTACAGTTAAAAAAAAATAAATGTTCTTTCCAAAACCAAAAGAATTTTAGTCTTCTAATTCTATCACCAGGTGCTCAATACATTTCAACTCCCATATTTGGGCAATTCTTCAAGACTTGTTTTCCTACTTTCCTCTTTCACTAGAACACTTCCTAAAAGGAGAAAATTCACAGCTATTCCTCTGAGATTCAAGACACCTGTCCTCTAACTCATTAATTCAATATAATATAAGGACTGTGCTAGGTGCTGGGGTTACAACTGTGAACAAGATGGACATGAACGCTGCCCAGAGGGAGTTTACAGAATAAAGGCAAATAGTCTTAATACATTTAACTTCAGTTGCGTAAATCCTATAAAAGGAAAATACAGGTTACTCTGAGTGAAGGCTTACAATGAAATTTAGTCTAGGTGGAGAAGAAAAGCAAGGACAATTTCCCAGAGAAAGTCCTCCCTACCCCTAGGGCTAAGGATGGAACCCAAGGGCTTCATGCACTATGCAAGAGCTCTGCCACTAATCTACGCTCCCAGCCCCAGAAAGTCTTTTTTTCTTGTTTTGTTTTGTACCAGGGATTGAATCCAGGGGACTGAGCCACATCCCCAGCCTTTTTTTTTTTTTTGAGGCAAGATCTCGCTAATTTTCTTTCGGCCTCGCTAAATTGCCAAACCTGGCTTTGAACGTGCGGTGCTCCTTTCTCAGCCTGCCGACCCGCTTAAATCAGTTATAAATTATCAGTATTTTAGGTGCCCTACCAGGCTTTTTTTAATTAAAGTGATTTGTATTTAATAATTCATTTTTTCCTCACAAAAATCTGTGGGAGGAATTATAATAGTAATAATAATATAAATTTGTATTATATTATAAATTATAAAAGTAATATAAAAATAATAATATTACAATTATTATTCCCATAGTCCAGGATTCTAACTCCAGCAGACCGACTCCGGAATCTACATTAACTACCACCAGTACTTAACAATGGCTTCCAACAAGGATTAACACTTACGATGTGTTAATCCTTCTATATTATCCATTACCTCATTTAATACTGTAAAACCACTGTCGGCCATTTTGCAGATAGAAAAACAAAGACAACTAAGGATCTTGCGACTTTAGAGCACACACCCTCAACACGTGCGACACCACTTCGTTTCCAGAAAAGTCTAAAGGAAGAGGGGATGAGGCCAGTCACCAAAACCAGACCATTCGGGTTTGGGGGATGGGAGGGATAGCGCCCCTTCTCATTTCGTCCCTGTTACGACGCTGGAGGTACCTGAGGGAATTACCCCACGATAGGGCGGATGAGGAAGCCAGGTTCCGGGCGCGGAGCCCCAGACTAAAGGCCGGGCTCGGCCTGGACCTAGGGACTAGGCCCCAGTGGCGCGAAGCCTCGAGCGACGCCAACTGCAGATCCACTCAACACGCAGAAGTCGTCACCGCCCCTCACTTTCGACTTTCCCGCCCGGAGGGACGTCGCTCTGACGCTACCGAGGCGCGCCGCTGAATGACGTCAAAATTCCGCGCCGGAAGTCGGCGCCCGGCGGCCCAGCTGGAAACCGTGAGCGGCGGATCAAGACAGTCGCGGAGTCCCTGGCCAGCCAGGTTGAGGAACGTTAGAAGGCCCGGAGGCGAAATCCAAGAGGAACTCGACTCCCTGCGGCTGGCATTCGGCTTTCAGAGAAGATGGCGGGGCCAGAGCTTTTGCTCGACTCCAACATCCGCCTCTGGGTGGTCCTACCCATCGTTATCATCACTTTCTTCGTAGGCATGATCCGCCACTATGTGTCCATCCTGTTGCAGAGCGACAAGAAACTGACCCAGGAACAAGTCTCCGACAGGTCAGCACCCTTCCCTAACCGGCCGCCTTCACTCCTCGTGACCTTGGGCAAGAAAGTGCAGGAGTTCTGTCAGTTTACCTGAGTTCTCGTCGCGCCCCTGCTGGCAGGTGACCTTGGCCGTTACCTGTATTTCACTTTTGTCGTCTCTAAAATGAGAACTATAACAGTGCCTACCTCATAGAACAGACGTGGGGATTAAATTAGGTGACATCTTTAAAGCCTGATCATAGGGCCTGGGACATATTAGTGCTAAAAAAAAAAAAAAAAAAAAAAAAAAAAAACGTTGTTAACATTGTTAGGCTAGTAGCCAACTCTCAGTGGGATTATCTATGAACTGTCCGATCCCATCCTTTCCTTAGGAAAAGTGCCCACTGAGTGCCAGGTCTTTTTATTCTTTGATAATATTAGATAATTGCATTTTACTGAATTACTGTAATGATCAGCAGAGATGCTAAGAAACAAAATGCTTTGCAAACTGTAAAAGTGCCATTAGAGATGTGTGGATTTGTAAAGATCATTTTCCCTCCTATAGTGAAGGCAACTTCCTCCCCACACGCTTTCATTTAGTATTTGCAGAAACAAATTTGAGATGGCTCTAGATGGTATCCAGACACATGCCCTTCTATTAAAATAAATAACAATTTTCAGCCAATTGTTATGATTATTTTCAGATACCATCTTAATCAAGTGGTACTATATCTTTAACCCCTCCTGATTACTTAGGAATCTCTTTTTAACAAAAAGAGCAAGCATCAGGTTCAGAAGTTTCCACAGATGGGCTGGGGCTATGGCTCAGTAGTAGTGCACTTGCCTGGCATGCGTGAAGCACTGGGTTCCATTCTCAGCACCACATATAAATAAATAAAGTAAAGGTCTATCAACAACTAGAAAAAAATTTTTTTTAAAGAGTTTTCCACAGATGACAGTATCTAGGGAAAATTTAATGTTGTTTTGATTTTATTGTATTTATTTTTAAAATTGCTTTGTTTTGTGGCAAGTCATACTGGATTTCCATTTGCTGAAATTTTATAGGAGCTGGGTTGAGGCTCAGTGGTAGAGCACTTGCCTGGTATGTGTGAGGCACTGGGTTGGATCCTCAGCACCACATAAAGTAAAATAAAGAAATTGTGTCTACCTATAACTAAAAAACATTTTAATAAATAAATAAGTAGATAAAAGTATTTTGTCCATCTACAACTTAAAATATTTTTTTAAAAACTAATATAGGCAGAAGAAAAGTTGATATCTAAAAATATTAAGTACATATAGTATAAGTGCTACTGAAGTATGGGAAACTAATTTATCATTTTCAGTTGTCCTTACCAATTATGCTGACAATAATAATAAGCAAACATTTATTAAATACTTATTCTGTACCATGCACTATGCTAAATTACTTATTTAAAACGCAGAGCAACTATGAGGTAGGTACTGTTTTCCCATTTTATAGAAACTGAAGCTTAAGAGGGTTCCATGGTCACATATGATAATATTCAGGACTTTAAGCCAGGTCTTCTGGTTGCCAAGCCTAGGGCTCTTTCCATTTTACTACAAATTAGCCACTTGGATTATTTTTTTTGTGACATCAATTTCAGAACTGACCTGAGCCACCCTCCTGGAAACAATCTTTAGAAGTCAGTTTACAACAAGATGTGGTAGCTAATACCTTTAATCCCAGCCACTGTGAAGACAGGTGCAGGAGGATTATAAGTTCAAGCACAGCCTGTACAACTTATTGAAACTATCTCAAAAAAGTTTTTTTTACAGGGCTGGCATTGTGGCTCAGTGGTAGAACACTCACCTAGCACATGTGAGGCACTGGATTCAATCCTCAGCACCACATAAAAATAAATAAAATAAAGGTATACATCTATAACTTAAAAAAAATTTTTTTTAATTTTAAGGATTTTGTTCAGCAGTAGAATGCTCCCGAGTTCAATCCCCAATATCCCAACATTAGGAGAGGGAAAAAGTCAGTTTACCACAAAAAGAAATCCTATAGAAAAATGCAGGGTGGAGAGAGCTCAGATAATTAGCATTCAATGATACCTAGAAATTATTTTCATTTTATCCTTACAATAGTTCTGAGTTAGGTAATCCTAAACCCATTTTAATAGTTGAAGAAAAGGAAGCCTGGAGAAATTAAGTAGCATTCCCAGAGTAACCAAAGTTGTAAAATATTGTGCATGTACTTGAACCTAAATTGGTTCACTGATTCTGCTATCATGATTCTTTTTTTTTTTACCAGATACTATGATGATTCTTAACCACCATTCCTGCTATGATAGATATTCTGACACAATTTTCTATCCTGGTTTTTACTATGTCATTTTAGAGCTGTGGTTCTGAATGGTATCAGACCCACAGCTGGGTTTTTTTTTTTTTTCCATCTCCAAAATGAAATTCACAGTTGGTACAATCTAAATATGAATTTGTTTGGGTTTGTTTGGTTGATTGGTTGGTTTTGGTTTCATTCTTCTTGTGCTGGGGATTGAATTCAGGCCCTTGCTCATGCTAGACAAGCACTCTACCACTGAACTAATTCTTCAGCCCACAGGGGAATTATTTTTTTAAAGCAACATTATGATCTAGTTGTAATAATCAGGAGAAATAAAAGAAAAGTAATTTGTGGTAATTTATATTTCATAGGAGCTTGGGCACAATTGTTGTATAAGGCATAATGCAGAAGTCATATATATGCACCTCACTAAAAAATCACTTTAACTGGGACCAGTTAATAGATGGCGAATATAGATGAATATCACAGAAAGTAGTACTACATTAGTTTCTTAGGTGGTATATTATTCTTCATAAAGTACAATTTCCCATATGTTTATTTGGTGCTTAGAAATTTTATAAACAGGGGCTGGGGATGTGGCTCAAGCGGTAGCGTGCTCGCCTGGCATGCGTGCAGCCCAGGTTCGATCCTCAGCACCACATACCAACAAAGATGTTCTGTCCGCCGAGAACTAAAAAATAAATATTAAAAATTCTCTCGCTCTTTCTCTCTCCTCTCTCATTCTCTCTTTAAAAAAAAAGAAAGAAATTTTATAAACATAAAAACTGTGCCCCCCTCATAAAGAAAATGGAATTAGATTCTGAAACCTAATTTTAACAGTTGAGAGGAAGTAGAGTTGAACCAGAGACTTAGCCAGGCCCTAAGCAACTTAGCAAGACCCTGTCTCAAAATTTAAAAATATTAAAAGGGCTGGGGATGTGAATCAGTGGTTAAGCACCCCTGGGTTCAATCCCCTCATACTATAAAACAAAAAAACAAGAATAGGAAACTTCAGTTTTGGGCTGGCGTTGTAGCTCAGTGGTAGCACGCTCTCCTAGCAAGCTCAAGGCCCTGGGTTCAATCCTCAGCACCACATAAAATAAAGGTATTGTATCCAACTACAACTAAAAAACTAAATATTAAAAAAAATAAAGTTTTATTCTAAGAAAAGGTCTTTCAGTTGCAGATAACCAAAGCTTTATCTTTACAACCAGTAAATGATTTATTTTAGATACTTATCAGAATAAAAACACAAAATTAAAAACTTCTTACAGGATTTATAGACTTTGAAAATATAGTGATGGATCTCAGCTTTAAATGAGATAATACACACAAAGGACTCAGCTTAAAACCCTCCATTGTTTCACTTTTGCTCTTCATGATTTAGTAAGTAGGATCCACATGGCCTTGTGTAGTCCAGCTCTTGCCCACCTCTCTAGCCTCCTCTTCACCACATAGTCCTCAGAGACATAGTACTTACTCCTGCAACAGGGCCTATGTCCATAACATTCCCTCCAGCATTTTCCCATATAAGATTCCAACCTAATCCTATATTCTCAGCAAGGTTTTCTTTCAGACCTTAACTTTGCAGAATGGGGGAATTCTCCATCCATCTCTCTTCCTAGAATATAACAGTCAAATTTCACATTGGCTCATGTGGTTATTTGATTCATTTCTTTCTCTCCCATCAGACTTTTTTGGTTTTATTTGTTTGTTTGGGGCAATATTAGGGTTTGAACCCAGGGGTGCTCTAGTAGAGAGTTACATCTCCACCCCTTTTTATTTTTGAGACAGGGTCTCACAAGTTGTTGAGGCTGACCTCATTCAAGCCTCCTGCGTTAGCCTCCAGAACCTCTGGAATTACAGGTGTGCACCACCACTCCTGGCATTTCCCACTAGAATTATACCATCATGAGATATTTGCATTTTGATCGCTGCTGCTCATGTCACCTCATACAGTACCTGACAATTAGAAATTTAAGAAATATATTTTCATTGAAAGCATAAATTTGTTACTCTACAGAATGTGAATGGTGGATTAAAGAATTGAAGTGAGTTGGCCAAGATATTCAGCTAATAAATGGCAAAAACAGGATTTGAACTGAACTCTAGAGCTTATCTTTTCATTCATTTTTCTATATCCAGTGCTTCTTAAACTGTTGGTGGTAAAGGGCCAGTTTGGGGGCTTTTTTATTTTTAAATTTTATTTCTTTTTAATTAATTGGTTAACTGATAGATACTAGGGATTGATAGATACTGCCAGGGGCATTTTACCACTGAGTCATATCTCATACAGCTGTTTTTTGATTTCTAGTCCAACTGGCTAAAATATTTTGATCACATGCTTGGATGTTTGGTAATATCAAATTATTATGTCTCTAAACCCTTACTCTCTATGTGAGTATATGTCTGTATTCACCTTGTCACAGACCAGCATTGATACATAGGCCACACTCTGAGTAACTTTAGCTCCCAAGGAACAGAACGTATTACAGGTCACTTCTGTAGCTTGTGTTTAGTCAACTGTATAATATAACAAGGCCAAAAGGAGGGAAACCAGGGAAAGTTCTACAAGAGTTCCAGCATCAGGAAGAGATTGTGGGAAAGACGGGGCTTGAGGAAAGTATTTAGGCTTGATAGGGTAACACCAGCAAAGGAGAGGTGCCATCAAGCACTGCCAACATACAGTGAAGCTGAGATATGTTTAGTGGCACTAAATGCTCACAGCAGGTGGTTTGTACACAGAAGTAAAGAAGGGAAAGTTAAAGAACAGTGTTCTTTTCTCTGTTTGCTATTTATATCTTAGTTATATGGACTATTATCTTTAGTGATCAACTGTGCCCTGATAACACCAAATAATTTCATTTATTCATTGTTTATTGAGAACTTATACTTGGAATCCTGAGTGGCATTTCTATTTGTTGTCAATCAGATAATAATCTTCTTGAGACTTCTCATTTCTTCTTGTCTGTGTCCCCCACAACAATATGCAACCACCCTCCCCCACCCTACTCCCACTGCCAGTGCTGGGGATTAAACCCAGTGCCTTGTGCAGGCTAAGCAAGTGCTCTACCACTGAGCTACACCTGATCTTTTCACTTTTTAAAATTTTGAGACAGGGTCTTGCTAAGTTACTCAAAATGACCTCAAAATTGCATCCCAGATAGCTGGGATTACAAGTGTGCACCACTGGACCTGGCTACCTGTCCTCATTGCTCTGTGCATATTAAGAATTTCTTCCCTTCTTTTATCTTATGCCTTTCCCCTCCTCCAGCCCCCACATCTTCTGAACAACATCCAACTTCTACTCTTTTCCCTCAGAGAAAGTTCCTTCTTGGCTCATTATAAATTAAAAAAAAAAAAAAAAAAAACTGAGTGTGATATCCCAAATATGCCTGACTTAGAAATCTGTGTACAGAACCACAGTCACTTGGAAGACTGCTCTTTTGAAAACCTGAATGTAAGGTTAATTATGTCATGCTGGTTTTTAGGATACTTGAATGTTCCACATGTACCTGTTGCCAAATAGGTCCTCTCGTGTTTAGACAGATCTTCTACTTTATACTCTCATTTTCTTCTAGTGTTTCACTTTTAAAAATCTCATTGTCTTGGTCATGTTTTTCAGCCAAGTCCTAATTCGAAGCAGAGTCCTCAGGGAAAATGGAAAATACATTCCCAAACAGGTACTTACTTATCTTTTATTAAAAAGCTCCACCATTGATTGTGGAGAGCAGTAGATAATCTGAATGTTTTATAAGGGGACTCTTTGGGGAGAACTGGAGATTGGCCACTCAGTAATTAAGCTGTGGCCCAGTGGTGTTTGCTGTCACTGTGACCTCACTCTTAGGAAATTGTTTTTAAATGTGACTCAGCTAAAGTGTCAGGTCGCCTGCCAAGTAGGATGCCAGCTCTGAGGGCAATAGCATATTCCAAGGCTCTTCTGACCAAATCTCTGGGGAGTCACTTGAAAACTTGCCATGTCACAGTTCTTCGATTTAAAAAGCGTTTTCTTTCCTACTAGTCTTTCTTGACACGAAAATATTACTTCAACAACCCAGAGGATGGATTTTTCAAAAAAACTAAAAGAAAGGTAGTGCCACCTTCTCCTATGACCGGTATGTTTATTCCTTTTCTCTTGCTTTAAAAAAAAAAAAGTTTACATGGGGTACTGAGTGAGAGGGGGAGGAGGGAAGGCAGGGCAGATATAGTTTTATTTAAATAAATTATAGGAACTAATAATGTAAATGACCTTAGAAATGATCTAATATAGATCTAATATAGTGGAGTTCTCTTTTTCAAATAAATCTCCTGGGAACCCAGATTATAAAGCAAATTTTAAAAAGCTGATCAAGTGGGGAAGCCAACACTGTTGTCCCTAGGTCTCTCCTCGTTGCTAGTTCTCAAGACCCATGGCTCTGTGGAGCACAGTTGAGATTGCTTTCCAGTCCCAGCTCCCACCCACTGCCTAGATCCTATTGCTGACAGATGGCTACCCAGCTTCTGCCTAAATGAGGAGGAGCTGACTCCCTCCCAGTAGCAACCAGTTCTTGGTCAGATCCGATTGCTTAGTCCATCCTACAATGTCTGCTCCAACAGATACCTGACTTCCACTAACTTCTGCCTTATGAAAAATACAATGTAAAGTAAAGCAAAATAATTTATTTTTCTTTGTTGACTATTTTCTCACTTTAGTATTCATTTCTTGAGATAACTAGTTCTTTTAACCCATGAATAAAGTATTAGAATTAACACAATTTAGGAAAAAACTTCCAAGCCACAAAAGTATATATGAAAATATACTTGATTTCTCTAATAATCCACAGAAGACAAATAAAAATAAGATGTTACCAGGCACAGTGGTGCACACCTATAATCCTAGCTACTTGGAAGGCTGAGGCAGCCTGATCACAAGGTCAGCCTGGATAACTTAAGGAGACTCTGTCTTGAAATTTTAAAAAAAAATTAAAATTAAAAAAGGGTTCGGAGTATGGCTCAATGGTTGAGTGCTTGCCTAGCATGAGTGGGGCCCTGGGTTTAGCCCAAGTACTACAAACAAAACAAAACAAGATATCCATTTTTTATTTATTACCCATTAAGTTGACAAAATTAAAAGATTGACCAAAGTCACTATGGTCAAGGTCGAGGGAAATTAGGCCCTCTCATCACTGGTGAGAGTATCAAATGGTGGGGCCTCCTTGAAGGATAGCCTGACGGTTTATGTCTTTTTGTTTTTGTTGTTTTTGTTTTGTTTTGGGGGGAGTGGCATTGCTGCACATTTAACCTAGGGTCTTGCACCTGCTACACAAGCACTCTACCACCGAGCTATACTCCAAGCCTCTAATCTTTTTTATTATTTTGTACTAAAAATTGAACCTATGGGTGCTCTACCACTGGCCTACATCCCAGCCCTTTTTATTTTTTGAGACAGGATCCTACTAAGATGCCCAGGCTGCCCTCAAACCTGTTATCCTCCTGCCTCAGCCTACCAAGTCTTTGGGATTACAAATATACACCACCACACCCTACCACAAAGTCCTAGCATCTGTCAATTTTAAATATATGAACCCCTTGATCCAGAATTTTTTTAAAGAATTTATCTTACAGAAATACTTACATAGCCTGCGGCGATGGCTCATGCCTGTAATCCCAGCAGCTCAGGAACTTGAGACAGGAGAATCTCGAGTTCAAAGCCAGCCTTAGCAACTGTGGGGCACTAAGCAACTCAGTGAGACCCTGTCTCTAAATGAAATACAAAATAGGGCTAAGGATGTGGCTCAGTAGCCAAGTGCCCCTGAGTTCAATCCCCGATACCCTCCCCCCCAAAAAAAAAAAAAAGAAAAAGAAAAGAAATACTTACATAAACGTGCAAGTATGTACAAGATGGTGTTGGAAGCATTGTTTAGTCTCAAAAAAAAATTGGAAACAACCTCTAGGTCTATCAAAAAATAAATGGTGCAACCATATAGTAGAATCTGCCTAAACACTCAAAATATTGAGGGATAGATATTATCCCCATGAGAAAACCCTTTCACAAAATTATTCATTTTAAAAGATGAAGAAGCACAAGTCAGGCATGATGGCAGATGCCTGTAATTCTAGCTACTTGGGAGACTGAGGCAGGACTGCAAGTTCAAGGCCACCCTGAGCAACTTAGTAAGACCCTGTTTCAAAGATAAAAAATGAAAAGGGGTAGGGATGTAGCTTAGTGGTAGAGCACCTCTGAGTTCAATCCTCAATGCCAAATTAAAAAAAAAAAAAAAAAAGGGGGGGGATGATTAAGAAGCAGAATAGTGTGGTGGAATGAGAAGGAATGAGAAATTGTGCTCCATTTGTGTACAATGTGTTAAAATGCATTTCATTGTCATGTACAACTAATTAGAACAAATTTTTAAAAATTGAAAGAAGCAGAATATATGGAATATAATATATACATATATGTATATAAAATATATACATATATATAGTATGTGTGTATGAATTGAAAGATGAAAGATATGCTACGAATAGTTGAAAGTGTTTAGAGAGTGGACTGAGAGGAACCATCCTTATCGTACATTTCTGTTATTTGCATTTTTTAGCAATGAACACATCTTACTCAAATCATTAAATATATTAAAAATTTACAAGAGAGCTGGGGATATAGCTCAGTTGGTAGAGTGCCTTGCATGCATAAGGCCCTGTGCACCAAAAAAAATAATAATAATAATTTACAAGAGGGCTGGGGAAATAGCTCCGTTGGTTGAGTGCTTGTCTTGCATGCATAAGGCCCTGGGTTCAATCCCCAGCACCACCCAAAAAAAAAAAAAAAAAAAATCACAGAAAATGAGATGGTCTTTGCCAACAGAGGTAAAACCTAGTGGTCTCTTGTGCTTTTATTTTAGATCCCACTATGCTCACAGACATGATGAAAGGGAATGTCACCAATGTCCTCCCTATGATTCTTATTGGTGGATGGATCAACATGACATTTTCAGGCTTTGTTACAAGTAAGTTACAGACCCTGTAGACTTCATGTTTACATCATTGTGTTCTTTTTCCTGCCCTTGTTCAGAGAAATTCAAGTGTTACTGAGACCCTAACATCACAGATCTTATGTTTTCTTATGGAAACCAAGAACATTCTTTGAAAAACAATAAAAAATTAATCTGATGTGATGTTATGTCAACCCTGTTCCAAACCAATCCTAAGTTCATATGTGGTTGCTTTTTTACTAATAGAGATTCAAATGAGTGACCTGCTAGTTGACCTCCACAACTGATAGGTATTCTAGTTAATAGGATAGAAAGAAGCCTACTTCTATTTTTTACTTCATTTACTAGGTGTTGGGGTAAGTTTTCTGTTTGTTTTATTTGATTTGGTTTTAATCAGTGTGGCTTCTTAGTGATGTAGGTCTTTGCGTGTACCTGTTCCACTCGGGGTTTAATGGATCAATATAAATTTCTTCTGAATTTTAGGTCACAGCTCAGTTTGAGTTCTTGCTTCTTCAGCCACCTAGAAAGTGGTATTATTCAAGAAAACTAGAGCACAGCAACATCTTGACTATTTTTTTCCTTCTGAAATTGCCACTGATTTCCTTGTGGAAATCATTTTCCAAAAGCTGTGTGGCTCTCAGTTCTCACCTCCTTAGGGAAAGAATATGTGCTGTGCATTCACACTTCGACTGCTCTAAAAATAAAAACAGCTTGGAGTGGTTGTGAACTTTCTCTTTCTTCTCTGCAGCCAAGGTGCCATTTCCACTGACCCTTCGTTTTAAGCCTATGCTACAGCAAGGAATCGAGCTACTCACATTAGATGCATCCTGGTAAGAACTTTCTTTTAACTAATAAAAATCTAAAACCAGTGTCTCTTAAAGATCAAATTTGCATATTTCACTGGGAATAGGTTTTTTTTTTTTTTAATTTTGCATTTTGTCCCATTAAAACGCCACTCAAAATGTCCCTGCTGGATTATAGCCGTTTTTACATAAGCCTTGCAAAAAAAGAGAACATGTCAGTCTCTTTTCATAGGGCTTAGGAATACAAGGATGGATGTGTTTACCCCCTTAAAAATTGAAAGGTTAAGCAAAGAACTCTGGTTAGGCCAATCTTTTAGTAGTGCCCTGGAGCTTATGAGTGGATGTTTGTATTAGTTTTCTGTTACCATAACAAATACCCAAGATAATCAGCTTATTATGAAGAAAGATTTATTTTGGCTCATAGTTTTGGAGGTTTTAGTCCATGAACAATTGGCCCCATTGCTTTGGTCTTGTAGTGAAGCAAATCATGGAACAAAACACTCACCTTGTAGTCAGGTCCTGAAAGAGAAAAGAGGAAGAACACGCCCAGTCCTGTTTGAGGACATACTCCCAATGACTTAAGACTTCCCACTAAGCCCCAAAATGTTCCATCACTTTCCATTAACACCATGGGCTTCTGCAAGAACCAGTTAAGAGGAGGAGGATGGACCATGGGGGTCACCAGCAGTGATTGGATTCACTGGGTTTGAGCAGAGGCATCTCTGGTTATGTGGGAGGGGTGGAGCAGACCAGATGCTGATAGTGTCTTGAGTCTGCACAGCTCTAGTATAGAAGAAAAGCTGTACTTCATATGAGCAGCATGATTCTACTAAACTCTGATCTTCCACTCTCATTTGGGCCAAGCAATAGCTCCATTGGTTAAAGAAAAGCTTATTTATCTTTTCTAAGCTTCTGAGCAGGTATGTGTGTCTGATACTGTCAAGGACAGAGGGGAAACTATAGCCTGAGTGAAGAATTACCATTGCAAATACATCAGCAATATTGCACACAGGGAGATCATTTACTTACCTGCAACCTGATGAAGTGACCAAAATAGACTCCTGTGACCCAAGCATTGGAATGAAGTACAGAACCTTTCCATTTATGTATCATTTTTTCATATTCCCTTTAGTTTTATCATATGCAAATTATTTTTCAGTGGCAAGGTGGGAAACTTAAGATAAAGGAAGCCTTGGTGATAAAATTCAAACTTGGAATGCTTTCCCAGTTGCTGTCATCCTCAGCTTTGAAAGCCACCTCTAATCCTTCCTAAGTGTAGAACACATGAACACACCAACACTTGTGATTTTTTTCTAAAGAATGGAATACCAAACAGGAGGACTCTTTCACTTTTTATTTAATATACTTCTATATTGGTCAGACTGTCTTAATACCTATATTTCTTCTCTGTTGTGCTTTGGCTGCATAAAGCCTATCCTGGGTGATTTCCTTACATATGCTGAACAACTTTGCCTGGTACGAACATGTAAACTTCATTAATCCTGAAATTAATTAAACTTCATTAATACTTTGCTTTGCTAGGGTGAGTTCTGCATCCTGGTACTTTCTCAATGTATTTGGGCTTCGGAGCATATACTCTCTGATTCTGGGCCAAGATAATGGTAAGAAGCACATCAAGTTCAATAAGCAAAAACTTCAATAGATGACTCATCCATGCTAGAGCAAGAAAAATATAGGTTATACTGTTCATTAGCACATTCAGATATGGTGCTTCATTCCTTAAGTTTATTCAATATTCTGAAAGCATATTCAAAATTCCTAGGCCCAAACTGAAGATCTGATTTTCTCCAGCAATCACTGGGACATCATTTGGTTTCCCCAAGTCTGACACCCCTGGGGAATCCAGCACCAGTGATGAAGACCATTAATCTGAAGACTAAAGAAGGCCTGAATGGCTCAGTTAGCTCACTGACTAGAGGCCTTGCCGGTACTAATTCTGGTTCTCATATAATGGTGGGGAAGTCTGACAAGTTATTTAACTGCTCTGATCCTGTCTTTTTTGCTGTCTTGTAAATAGGGATCTTGGGAGTTATCTACAGGGTGATTAGAAGTAGATAAGGAAGAATGCACAAAGCAGTTGGCAAAGAATCTGGCGTATAGTAGTTGCTCATTATCTGGTAGCTGTTGTTATTGAAGTCTGAAATAAACTTTGGAGCTTCCTTTAGTTCCCTTCTGTTTTCCAGCTCTTGTCATCCCCATTTTTCAGGAGAGGTAAAGTGACTTGCTTGGCATCACACAGCCAGTGGGTGACAGGGCCAATTGTCTAGTTTTCGAACCCACTGCTAGGCAGCTTAAATGCGGTGCAGTGCTCATTCCTCTACAAGGGTGCAGGGGTGCCTGCTGAGCCTCAGCACTCACATTGGCATGTCTTACACTGCAGCCGCTGACCAATCACGAATGATGCAGGAGCAGATGACCGGAGCAGCCATGGCCATGCCTGCAGACACCAACAAAGCTTTCAAGGTACGCTTCATTGTCTTCCAGAGCTTTATTGAGGCTCTGAATGGTTCCCAGAACCAGCAATGCTCTCTTACTCAGTTTCACTTTTTTACAGTTTCAGTTACCACGGTCAACTGCATCCAAAAATATTCAGTGGAAAATTCCAAAAATAAACAGGTCACAGTCTTCAAACTGCACTGTTCTGAGTAGTGTCATGAAATCTTGCTCTGTCCTCTTCTGTCCTACTGAGGACACAAGTCATCCCTTTGTCCAGTGCATCCACATCCCACACAACCCACCTCATGGAAGATGAGAGATCATATTCACATCTTCTGTTACAGCATATTCTTGTGATTGGTCTATTTTTGTTACTAGGTATTCAGGTTAAATCTCTTGCTGTGCCTAATTTGTAAATTAAACTTAATCAGAGGTTATGTATGTATAGGGAGAATAGTATATGTAGATTTAGTACTGCTTTGCAGTCGTGGGAATCCACTCACTGGTGGACTTGGAACATAGATCATCTGGGGATAAGGGGGGATTATTATACTTTAAAAACAAATTCTCAAAAACAAAAGGAGAAAAGAAGAAAAAAAATTAAACAAAAAATAAAAATGAATTCTCAATCCAAGCACAGTGTCCTATACCTATAGTCCCAGTACTCAGAAGGCTGAGGCAGAAGGAAATCAAGGCCAGCCTGGGCAACATAGTGAGACCCACTCTCCCACCCCGTATCAAACAACAAGAAAAGCTCTGCAGTAAATGTAGTGTGGTTTCATTATTTGAATTTAGAGTAGGAAAAATAAAGTTTATGTGTGTTTTGTTCCTGAGACAGAATCGTCTGTTAATTGGAGATTCTTGGCACTTTCACTGGTATTAAATGATCACCCAAATTTAATCCACACTGTAAATGAGGCTATAAAACAATTCTTTCAAAGGCCCCAGGTAACATATGGGATACTTTAAACTTTCTTGAACCTGGCAGACATCAGGTGTAAATTGCATTAAAAATAAATAAATACATAGGGACAAAGGATGTAGCTCGGTGGTAGAACATGTTTAGCATTCAAATGGCCCTGGTTTCCATCCCCAGCATCATAAGTCATTCATTCACTGCATCCATAAAGTGTCAGTACTTTAAAGCCTTTTCATTAAAGGATTCTGGAATTTGTAAAATCCTATATAACCTCACTAATTTTCCATGATAAAAACTAAAAATACCCTACTTCCAGTCCCTAGCACTGCAAAAAAACAAACAAAAAAAAGCTAAAAATAAAAGGAAACTCTTACCCTGATGAAGGTCATTTATTTAAAAAAAAACAACAACCCTACAGCTACTATCATACTTAATGGTGAAAGATTGGAAGCTTTTCTCCCAAGATCAAGAACAAGACAAGGATATCTGCCACTTCTGTTACCACTTCTATTCAACATTGTACTGGATGTTCTAGCCAGGACAGCTGGGCATGGGAGAAATAAATCAGGCAGTAACACTACCTCTCTTTACAGATGAAATCCACACACACCCACAAATAACCATCAGAGCTGAAAAACGAGTTTGGCAGTTTTAGGATACAAGATCAATATACAGGGCTGGGGCTGTAGCTCAGTGGCAGAGCACTTGCCCAGCATTTGTGAGGCACTGGGTTCAATCCTCAGCACTACAACTATATTTAAAAAAAATTAATGCATTAAAAAAAATCAATATATGCAAACTAGATGTAATCAGGTGCATTGTAATAAGGTAGCAAGATCATGAGGTTGAGACCAGCCTGGGCAATTTAGTTAGACTCTTGTCTCTAAATGAAAAAAGAAAAAAATTAACTGCTTCAACACATTGGTAACAAAGAATCTGAAAATGAAATTAAGAAAAAAATTCCACTTATGTATAATAATTTCAAAAAGAGGAATAAGCCCAACAAAAGAAATGTAAAATTTATACCTGAAAATTCCAGAAACATTGCCAAAAGAAATTAAAGATCTAAATTAGAATGAATAGACATTTATATTTATAGATAAGAACATCATGTTAAGATGAAAGTAGTCCCTGCATTGACCTACAGATTCAGCACAATCCCTATCAAAATCTACCTCCCTTTTTTACAGAAACCAGCTGATTGTGAAGATCACAGGAAAATATAAGACACCCAAAATTGCCTAAAATTGAAAGAAAACAAGTTAGAGGACTTATACTTCCTGATTCAAAAGCCTACAAAGACAGTAATCAAAACTCTGAAGTAATGGCAAAATGACAGGCACGTAGATTAATGCAATAGAATTGAGTGTTCTGAAATAAATGCATAGCTATGATTTAATAAATTTATGATCATTTGATACTAACATATAATTGTTGATTTTTAGCCACAATGCCAGACAATTCTGTGAAGGAAAGAATAGTCTTTTGAACAAATGGTGCTAGGAAAATGATTTCTACATAAAAAAGAATGAAGATGGAAGCATGCTTCACAGTATGCACAAAAATTAAGTCAAAATGGGTCAGAGACCCAAATGTTGTATGATTCTGCTCACATGAAATATGTGGAATAGGAAAATCCATACAGATAAAAAGTGGGTTAGCAGTTACCAGAGTCTGGGAAGAGGGGACAGTGGGGGTTATTGCCTACTGGGAACAGAGCTTCTATTTCAGAGGATGAAAAGTTTTTGGAAATAGATACTGGAGATGGTTATAAAACACCGTGAATGTGATTGATGGCTAAAAGTGGCAGGCTTGATGTTGTACATATTATTTATTTCAATAAAAATATTAAATGTTCAAAAAGTATTTTTGATGGGTCAAAGACCTAAATATAAAAGATACAACTATGGTATTTTAAAATTAAACATGGGGGTGCTGCAGTTGTAGCTCAGTGGTAGAACACTTGCCTAGCACATGTGAGGCATTGGGTTTGAGCCTCAGCACCCCATAAGAAACAAATAAAATAAAGGTATTGTGTCCATCTGCAACCCAAAAACATTTGTTTAAATAAATAAAAGTCATAAAAAACATTAAACATAGGCTTAATGATGCATACCATAATCCCAGCAACTCAGGAGGCATGAGGACTTAAGTTCAAGGCAAGCTGGGCAACTTAATAAGATGCTGTCTCAAAATTTTTAAAACTTTAAAAAGGGATGAGGATGGTGGTAGAATTCAGTGATAGAGCACCCCCCAGTACCACAAAAAAATAAAAATAAAACATGGGCTTAAATCTTTGTGACCTTAGACTAGGCACTGATTTCTTAGATAAAATATACTTTCTAAAAATAAAATGGACTGGAATATAGCTCTCATGTTCTCTCTCTCTCTCTCTCTCTCTCTCTCTCTCTCTCTCTCTCTCTCTCAATCTCTCCTCTCACCACCCCCCCACACACACACACACACAATTTGTTCTCTCTCTTTTTTTCTCTCTTACCCTGTTCTCTCTCTCTCTCTCTCTATCTCTCTCTCTCTCTTCCTTCCCTGTTAATCAGATGCCACTGCAATAAAGATCTCTTGGTTGCCCTGAAAAAGAAAAAAAGGGGGCTGGGGATATGGCTCAAGCGGTAGCGAGCTCACCTGGCATGCGTGCGGCCCGGGTTCGATCCTCAGCACCACATACAAACAACGATGTTGTTTCCACCGAGAACTAAAAA